CAATATATATCAATACTTGAAAATCACAGGCACATGGGACTTGTCAACTTATGTCTCAGGGTGACGGGCGCAGTGGCAGTGACCCTTAGATCTTTGGCACTGCAACTGTTATGGACAGGCGTGTAGCTTACCATCAGGCGCACGACTTGTTCATCCCGTCACTTAATAAAAAAAAATTACCGTATTAGCTCCCAAATTTTACGATTGAATATTTTCCATATAGATTGAACACTTCATTATCTCACTTCACATAATTTTTTTAGATTTTTGGAGTGATTACGTCCTGCAAAATTGTATTATTTATGTTACTTTAAAATTTCTTGCATATCGGTCGGGCAACGGCCGTGTAATCCCTTTCGTAGATTGTGCAATTAGAGTAAATACCATTAATGCTTCCCTCGCTACATTTTGACATACAACTTGATTAATTAGGATATAATAATAATTTTGAGCCGCAGCAGCTTAGTGCTGAGTGACATATATTAAAAAGCGATAATCAATTATGACGTCAAGAGATATTTCGCACATGAAACCAATATTGTCGTAACTCAAAATTGTGGAATTGAAATAACACGATTTGAAAGTTGATGACGAGATGATTATTAATCAAAGGTCGAACATAGAAAAGTTTTTTCGACGGTATGGCCGTGGGTATCATCGGGTGTGGAAAATTTTTCTATGTTCGATTTTTGTACTAAAAAATTTCAATAAAAACTAATGGAGTTTTTTTAAAATGTCATTATTGTCAATAATGATAATGACATATTTGTTTTGTGTTGTCTCGGCGATTTAATAAATTATGAAATTTAATAACGGACCGGACGGAATAAAATAAACGGACCTTGCTCAGCCATTAGCTACGGGCAGAAAATCTGACTGACAGCCTTGGTTTTCAGCAAACCCAATATCATAAAGAAGGATGGAAAGTTGCCCCAATAACGATGAAGAGCCGTTCATGGACTTTTCTAGTATAATTTTGCGTTTTAGTTTATGCCTAGTTATAAATATATTTTTGTATAGAATAGATACAAGAACACAACGCAATTGATTCAGTTCGACCATAAATTAGGTAACGTTCTTGTACATACGTTTCATTCTAAGCATGATTGAATGTTTATCTACTTATTCTATTGGTTATTTTATAGTATACACACATAAAACATTAAAGCTATAAAATACCTAATCAAATAAGCAGCTAAACAGTAATGACATAAAGCAATAAAATACAATGTGATAAAAACATTTAGACAATATTTATATGAGAGATAATGAAAGTTGCAAAGGAATGTTTTGACAAGAGACCTCTTGCCAATGTCAATGTCACATTGATATTGAATTCTTTATTATTTTTGGAAACAAACTGAAAACTTGTTGTTTTCTACTACTACGAACAGACATCTGAAGCGAAATACAGGACAATGTTATAAACATAACCTATATCAAGTTTATAACCCCAGCTTCTTTAGTCTGAACTCAATTAGCTTTTTTGATGCTTTGATAATGAATCACAAGTATTGATAGGTCTCCTTAATACACGTCTTTAAAAACACTGGGTCACAAAATACACGGTATGTCGCCATCCTTCTTTATTATATTCTAGTTTATAAACAGGTAATTAAATATTGTGTAGGAAAAATAATCACGTTATTCGCAATAAGATCCTTTCAGTATTTTTTTTTTAACTTTCATAACTATAAAGGGCACGAAACGTTAGTTCATTTGAAAAAATAAATATAGAGATAGGCTGGGGTAGTTATCCGGGCGAGTTCTGCGTGGAACAAGATGTACCACCAGTAGGATTGATTGTAAATTTATTTATTTGTTTACAGGCATTCGAAATGATGAAGAAAAATCGAGGCCTGACTGACGTGGCGACGAAAACAGCTTTGGAAAGGGTACTAGAGCCCGCTGGAAAGGGGCTAGTTAGGTAAGATTTATATTATATTATTGTAATATATTATTATTATTTAGATTTAAGGCGGGTCACCGGAGGATAAGCGGGAAAAATTGTTTTGCTACATCAAATGGTTTAGGTATTTATTTCGTAGTAAATAACGGTGTTACAAAAAATATACGATATACCTAAAGATATTGTCTAAATGAGAATAAAGATGGCAATAACGCAATTAGCAACCATTAGAATGTCATAACATTCACAAACCAGATATTTTTGGCAATTTGTTCCGTCTTTCGAAATCTATCGATAAAACTGTCAATAACGACTACATCCCCCGTAGCATGGCTACGCATGATCAAAATTGGAATAAGCGCGCGCTATTGGCTGTCTCAATCTGATCTAATTTAGAAGTGTAGCCATGCTACGGGGGCTGGACTACTTAAAATGTTATGAATCGACAATGACTTAAAAAAACAGACTGTGTTTATAATTTCCTTTTATTGTTTCAGATTTACGTTCGACCAAAGAGCGAAAATGATAACTATACCGCCTCTTCCACCAACCTATCTCAAACAAATTTACACGTCAATGACAACACCCACTCTCTCAATTTTAGCCGAAGATTCGATTCAAAATGGCGCCTTCAAAACGGCCGACTTCGTTTTCGTAGAAGATTTAAGTAGAAATTACAAAGTAAAGCGAGTTGAGGGGAATCATGATGTTCATGTTAATTATCCTGAAAGAGTGGCGCCCTTTATTATTGAATTTTTAATGAAAAATCGATTTGTAGGTTAGTTTTAGGAAATGTCATTATTTGGCGCGAATGTCATAATTTGGCGCGAAAATCAACTGTGATAGAACGTTTATACAATCCGTACTGCCTTTTTTAATATTGGTTTTCCGGCATCGGAATAAATCCGTTAAGTTGGCGTTGGTTGAATCATCAGTTGTATCTATCGATACAACTGATGATCGAGACCCTCCTTTTTTAAAAGTGTTTTGGCATTACATCATTTTGAAAATCACCGGTCAAATGTCAAAATCCATTGGCCTCTGGCGGATGTTTGTATAGTTTATTTATTTTTATTTTTATTTTACGCAGATAACCGAAATGTTCTCGAATACATAGTGTTGTATTAAATAATATAAATTTTATAGTTTTAATAAAGAAAATTTGTTTTGAAAGTTTCTCTTATTACGTTACCAATTTACCAATACAATTGCGTTTGGTTTGCGCATATGTATCAGTGTTTTTTATGATACCAAGATAACCAAGGTATTCATAGCCGTTGCTTTAAATTGCAAAGATCTGAGAGGCAGTGTCACGACCCATAACAAGCACTGCTTAGTTAAGACTTCAGTCTCCCGCAATACCTACATTATTCTAATCATAGCAGCGATGCGCGACTTTGAATGTTACTAATAATAATCATTCGAATGGGCAAATCATTCGTCTAAGTCGAATCCAAGCACAATCATTCGACTCGAGTCTAATGATTGACTACCGAATGCCCATTCGGTCGGGTGCACGAGTCGAATGATTATTATATCGGAACACCTCATTCATCATGTCCATACCACAAAATACCCCTGTCGTCGTCACATTTACAGTGTTTATCATATATCAGAGAGGGATAGATGATCACGAGCAGAAATGCTCTATGGAATCTATAGATTAGTACTGCTAATTAGTAATAAATGATTCATTCAAATCATTCGAATAAGAATATTAGTAGGTTACTAATTTGACATTCGAATGACAGGATTAGCGATTACTAATGAGTCGAATATCGAAATCATTCACAATCGCGCATCGCTAAAGCATAGTAATAACACGCATAGTGTCTTTTTTTAGCTGGAGTAAAATGACAATTTATTGAGCAAAAGTGTTGCCCGCTTGCGAGCAGCTGGTGATTGCAGGCGATAAATATTATGAAATAAATAGGCGAACTTGTTTCATTTGAATCATCATCGGCCCATTATTCGACCAACTGCTTGGCACAGGTTCATTTGAATTAATTTTTGAAAATTCACACATACACTAAATACAAATAGGCGACACATTTTAAAGCTTTTCATTTGAATTTAATAAACATAATCAAATCCGCCTTCCTGGTTATTAAAATGTGTATGACTAAAAAAATTTTTTAAATTTTATTGAACAAAATAGGATATTCAAATATACATAGTATAGTCAAAGTATAGTTTAGTCATAAATAACAATTAAGAAATTACAAATTACAATTTAGTGCTCCGCCGTCCACTAACTAAAACGTGGCGAAGTGACAAATGGTCAAATATCTGTTTCAAATAGAAAAGGATTCAGACAAAATTATCTTTTAAAAACAGTTAAAATAAGTTAACTTGTCCAACTTCTAAAATATCCATAAACAATTTCAGAATTCTAAAACTGGATTATGGTTTTTTTATGACATCTCAAAAAAATATTTTGTCTAGCCGCGTTTTAATTAACGGACGGCAGTGCTGTCTATCACACTCGTGACTAAAAATCGATTTGGATATTATAAATACACCCACTGTCAAAATAAGAACAAAGAATACGATAACGCAATTAGTAATCATTAGAACGTAATATTCATAATTCAGATAAATTAGATATGGCAAAATTTTACCTACTTTCACAATCTATCGATAAAACTTTCGACAACAACTACATGACTATTTAAAACTTCCCGAAAACTGGAAACCCTGCAAATGTCAGTTTGCTTCGTCTTCAAAAAATACTAATAATATGTATCTTTACTGTAATTTTCCTTTGTTTTGTATTAAGGGATGGTATGGCAGTGGGATGTTAAAATGGATGGTGACAATGGTCGCATTTTACGTGGACTACCTTTAACAGACTAGTTGGTGCCCGCGACTTCTCTGCGTCAATAAATAGATACTTCGAGTAGTCGACTGTAGTGTACTAATTTTCAGAGTTTTATTGGTTCTCAATACAAACTTTCGTCCACAATTTCATCCCCCTTAACATTAATTTTTGTAACAAAAGTAGCCAATGTCCTTGTGATAGGTCCCATCTATCTCTATACCAAAATTCAATAAAATAACATAATAGATTCTTCTTTTGCAAACTGGTATGTGTCCATGACATTATCGCAACTGGCATTTCAAAAATTAAAAAACAAAACTGTTCAAAAAAAGAACGAAACGGTCCGTCACTGTCAAAATGTAAAAGTACATTTTAATCGCGAAAAAAATCCTAAATTTTAAAAAATTATTTTATTAAACACGTCGTCTTGTTGAGTTTCTTAATGTGCGACACATGTCGTCTTGTTCAGGGTTTTGAAAATTTTTAATAACGCTGCAAAAGGCACAAAGCGAATGTCTTGATTTTAGCATCCGGTACAATAATCTACTTAGTAAGTACTTAATTTTCATTGTAATTTTAACCGACTTCAAAAAAGGAGGAAGTTCTCAATTTGACTGTATTTTTGTGTTTGTTATGCGATTACTTTGGCATTTGTGATCCCATGTTGATGATTATTTTTTGTTGGAAAGAGTGTACCTCAGTATTGGTCCCATATTTGAAGAAAATGTTCCACCTCTAGGGGTGGCAAACCAGCGGATGAATCCGATTTCGCGCACTTTCTGTTAACCGATTGCAATAAAACTTGGCAAAGAGAAGTAATTCCATGAACTTTTGAGGTCGGTTTTTTTTATAAAAATTGTTTAATAAATTATAGGCAGACTAGCTTCAATTGCTACTGCATTGAGCCAAGTTTTTTTTATTTTTTTTTATTAAGGCTTTGGCAAAGCCATCAGCCTAAACATGAAGTTTAATTATGTTTCTGTAAATATGGCCGCCACAAAGAGGATAGGCAATTTGAGGCGGCGTGCTTGGATTGACTCGGGATTCCTTAAAACGAGCCGATTCGGGGATTTTCGATTAAGGTACAATAGCACTATCCTATTCCACTTTAAACTAGATTTGGCAAAATAATTGAAAGTAAAAATAAAAACGACACTTTTCCCTCCAAAAGGTCCAGAGCGAATTGTTGAGCCAAGTTTCGAAAAAAAAAAACAATTACGTAAGTATGTTTTCTTTGATACTATCTATAAGTAACTAATTGTGCCCAGAGTATTGTATAGTTTTATGTGGATTTACCTATACAGGATGCATAAAAAGTGTAGTCCTGTTTTAATGAATAAATGATATTTATATATGCCAAAATATGCTCTATAATAAATTGGTACCATCGAGTATATAACCAGAAATAGAGACGAAATAAGGGCCATATATAACACATTAGCGATACAGCTCTTATAAATATCAACTCCCGTTTGCATTATAGACAGGCCAATACTGACCTGTGTGTACGTCTCCGTATTTTCCAAAAAATATTATGTATTTATTGTAATAAAGATAATATCTCTAACAATGCCGTGCTGTTCTATTCGGTGGTGTGGGACTGGAACAAACGGAATCACATTTCATCGGTAATTAAATATTAAATATGTAATTTTGCAATTTTCGTCCATTATAGCAAAGCTCAAGTTATCTGGTCGATTTGAAGTGAAACAGTTGACGTCACCCGTCAATTGTTTCGAACTCGGAAGAACCAATCGGAGCGCAGTTCTCACTGTAATGACATTGCAGAATAGTTTTCAAACAAATTATAAGACATATAGTCTCTATTTCTGGTTATATACTCGATGGTTGGTACACATAGTAAGATAGCTTTCATGCTTTACTAGATGGCATGCAATATTGTAGTGAAGTTTGTGTCCATCGTTTTGCGCATATAATGTTGTCTGTATTAGTCTGTCTTTTTTGAAGATGGAGTAAAATGACATTTGCAGGGTTGCCAGTTTTTGTACAATTTTGAATAGATGCCAACAGTTTTATCGATAGATTGCAGTGGCGAGGCGTGAAAATTTTCCTTGGTAAAGCCGAAGCTTCAACTTTTTGAAAAAACACTAAAAAAAATGTAATAACGGCAAGCGGGTATCAAATTCAAATGAAAACACTTTAAAATATGTTTCCTATTTGAATTTTTTATACACCTACCTACTGCTAAATTTTGTGTATGTATGTATGGGCTTTTAAAAATTAACAACGCAAATGAACCTGCGCCCAGCAGTTGGAGGAATAATGGGCCGATGAAGATTCAAATGAAACAAGTTCGGCTATTTATTTGATAAGCGTGACCAATATGCAGTCGATAGGCCATATTACATTTCGCCGCAATTATTAGCTATTTTTATGACTTGTGATGAAAGCATTTTTGACATTGGAAGAATGGCATAAGTGTAGTTACGTTGAACATGTTTATTGCATCGACAATATTAGTCGACAAAATTACAAGAATTGGAGAGGATGTGGGTAATATATTTTTTTTTCATTTCATTTCACATTTCACTCATTTCATTCACTCTTCCATGAGGGGTGCGAAAGTGTCTTTAGGTATATCAAGTGTATGATTATACTATATGAATATGATTGTTTTGAATTTGCGTTTAACTGTCAAATTACAGGCGCTGGAGCAATGGATAGTATTTTCGACGTATTATGGGATTTCATCAAAGTAAGACAACTTAATTTTGCGGTAAGTTCGTACACATCGTCGGCATTTGAAAGAAAGGACGAAAGTGCGATTTTGGAAAAAATTTCAGTTTTACTGCGCTACAGTAATTACGTCCTGTTTTTTTATAACTTAATTAAAACCAAAAATGAATTTTAAAATAGGCGTAAATATTTTATAATAGTCGTTAAAATCTAAAACATGCTCCCTTGAAAAAATATTTTTCGCCGTTTCTACAAAACACAAACGATATATAAAACAGTTTAAATTTAGTCATACGAGTATATAGATAGATAAATAAAATCTTTATTAGTCGGGTAATAAAAATACACATGAGACACCCTACATTATGGAATGTTTAGAAAATAAACAGTAAAAAAGAAAGAGGCTGGGATCCGTTGAATTTCCAGCGCGCTGGCTGGATCCTTCTTAACAGACCAGACTAGCTTTCGGTAGTCTCCTTTTCTTCAATAAAACTCCTTATAAACGTAAATCTTCTGGTATATTGAAAAAGAAAGTGCACACATTTCCATAAAACCGTGTTTGTGTCCATCTAACTTATCGAACAACCAAAATAAGAT